TTCAAGGTTTAGGTGTCCAATTTGACAATTTGCACTTCAATTCCAAGCAATTCAAGCCAATTCACTAGAACAATTCAACTCTCTCCCTTCCTCTCTCTCTAAGGCCGGTTGAAATGTTTTGATTCATGATTCAAGCGCTAAAACAACAAGAACAATTCTCTCTCTCTCTAACTCTCTTCTTGGTCGGTTGAGGCAACCCAAAGGCTGATGAAATGTTGTTTTAATCAAATGCACTAAGTGTAATAAGCCTCAAAAGGTTTGAGGTAGTGGGCCACTACAAGGCTAGTTTGGTAAATAAGTCCTACTTGGCCAATCAGCTTATTTTAATCTAATTTAATCATACCTAATCAGCTTTCAGATAAATACACTATAAAATCACATTAATTACGACGATCATAAAACACCAATCGGTTTCTAATTCGGCCGCCGATAAGGCCTTCAATGAGCAGTTTAAACATAAGTCATGAACAGATCAAGCATACAGTCAACAGATAAAATGCAATTCAAACAGATGTATTCATCCAATTCAGTTTCAATTTCGGTCAGTCAGTTCAGTACTTTTAATCAGTCCAATTATCAGTCATAATCAATTCAGTTTAACGGTAATCGATGGTTATCGGTAATCAATCCATCATTAATCGGTAAACAGTATGAGGGTTGTTACAAACATATCACAGAACGTCTTCTGACTAGAGTAATCGGTTCCAGATACCGATTAAACACATATCACCACAATGAAGTGGCTAACGAGATCTCGTAATTACTTGTATCTCATGGACCCGCATTTTCATGCCGTCCCCCATGACTTGGGACTATCTATGGATGCCATAATAGATTTCAAACTTGGAATGTTCGTTCACGTAAACAGATATCATTTCAGAAATCATGACTTATCACATTTCATTTGGAACATAATTCATATCAACATATCTTTGCAGAAATGTTACTCACAGTGGTTCCCGTAAATGGTCAATCAATCCTCGAGTCTTGACCTACAAGCACAAAATACATAACACAAGCATGTCTTATTATTACACATTCATGTGGCCAACACGGCTTAGTTTTCATTACGTTGGTTCTTGCTCTTTCTTATCACATTGTCTAACACCTACACACACTTGCAATCTCAGAACTTAGTACATTCTTTCCTTAGTGTGTTTCTAATCCATAACCTCATTACTATGGCTTAATTAAGGCTTAGGAATGCCTAAGATGCAATGAGGATGCCAAAACATGCCTTGGAACACTTAGGAAATTTTTTGAAAATAAGGTCCCCGCTCAAGCGTAGTTTTTCTCGCTCGAGCGGACGTATAAAATATGAATGGTCGTTCGAGTACACATTCCTTCGCTCGAGCGATCTATAAAAGACATGAAACTTCTGGGAGCTTGCAATTCACGCTCGAGTGGACTTTTGGTTGCTCAAGCGGAGTGTACGCACTCAGACTGGTCGCTCGAGCGTGAACTCCCACGCTCGAGCGTAGATGCAAATTCTAAAATTTCTAAATTGCACCTTCAAGCTCAAAACTCGAATTCCAACATTCAAAACACATCTCTTGGGCCCAAAAACTTGAGATAACATAGTAAACTTGTAAAATATGAAGAATTTAGGATCATTTCATAAAATCATGGCCCAAGGGTTTGTTAAAAACTCACAATTTCAACTTAAAACATGATGAATGTTCATGAACACAACATGCATATAAAATCTTTTCTTCAAACCTCATGAAACTAGCAAATTAAGCTCATAAGCTCCATGCATATAAGAAATTCTTCCCAAAACATGATTTTAAGTGAAGGAACATGGTAATTCAAACATGGATGATATGAATCATGTTCAAAATGATGAAATTAAACTAAATTAAGCATGCATGTATGAATTAACTCTACATTCATCATATTTGGTCAAATTCTTGTACATAATCACAAATTCTTCTTGAAATGATCTACTTGATGGTTAAAAGTCATAATTAAGTCTTAAATCCTTACCTAGAGTCTTCAATTAGCTAGGTACTTGCACAATCTTTGATCAATTCAGGCTATAGTCTTCAATTCTTCTTCAATCTCTTTCTTTCTCTCTCTAGAATTGTACTTCCTCTAAAATGTTTCACCAGATTTTAGCACTAAGGGGCAAAAGGATTGAGCTAAAAAATGAGCTTAAGGCTCACATATAAAGCTATGATGCTAAAATACACTAATTAGACACATAAGGCTTGCCAAACGCGACTTAACGAATCAGACTGAATCAATTTTTAATAAAACTTGCCATATGGTTCTAAAAATTCCAAATAACATATTGGTGGAGTCAATTTCGGTTTCGGATGCCGATAAAGCTTTCAATTTACATATTAAAGCGGAATTCCAGACAGATATTTCTACAAGTAACAGACAGTAAGCAAAATATCATGCAAATCACATAATAAACTCATAATTTATTTTATTCACTTAATTAACATCCTTAACTACCGATTAGTGGCTAATTGTGGATCGGGGTTATTACACATACCCAATTCATATTTCACAAAAAGTCAAAAAGTGCACTTATTTAGATCATCTCAAACCACCCATTTTGAGGGATTATTTTATGAGATTGGACTATTAGTCCATCCGAATTAATAGTCCGTTGTTTGGTTTAATTTTTTTGCTCTGGAGTAATTAGTCCCTCCGAACTATTAGTCCTTCATATGAGGGATTATTGTATCCTAGGGGGAGGGGTGAGATTATTTCCATGGAATTGGTATTCCATGGGGATTAATGTGTGAAATGTCTATTTTACCCTCATTCTCTTACTTAATAAACAATTGGAAAGGGGTAAAATAGTCTTTTAAACATTTATAAATTACTTTTTTAGTGTTGTTAATTTAAAATTATATATTAAACAAAAAATATAAATTATAAATTTAATTTAATTAAAAATAATAAATTATGGCCTTATAATTTTTTTAGTGTTGTTAATTTAAAATTATATATTAAATTATAAATTATAAATTTAGTTTAATTAAAAATAATAAATTAAAATTATGGTCTTATAAATTAAATTTTTTTAGTGTTGTTAAATTATAAATTATAAATTATAGATTACAAATTTAAAATTATATATTAAATAAAAATTATAAATTACAAGGGTAAAATAGTCTTTTACACATTTCTTTATCTAATCCGTCCAACAAAACATTGGATTTACTAAAAATAGTCCAATCCAGAAATCTAATCCCATGACTAAACAAACATAGGATTCAAATCCAATCAAACCAAATAGTCCGGGAACAATGTATCTCAAGACTAACAGTCCGATAGATTACAATCCCCCCTTATCCAGTCCGTCCAAACAAACACACTCTAATAGTCAAATCCCATGGAATAATCCCTCAAAACAAACACATTCTAGGGCATATTTGTTTAGACGGATTGAATAAGAGGGGATTGTAATCCATTGGACTGTTAGTCCTGGGATACATTGTCCCTGGACTATTTGGTTAGACTTGATTTGTATCCTATGTTTGTTTAGTTATGGGATTACATGTCCGGATTGGACTATTTTTAGTAAATCCAATGTTTGGTTAGATGGACTAGATAAGCATAAATGTTCAAAGACTATTTTACCCTTGTAATTTACAATTTATATTTTTTATTTAATATATAATTTTAAATCTATAATCTATAATTTATAATTTAACAAAAAAAATATTGTAAGGCCATAATTTTTAATTTATTATTTTTAATTAAATTAAATTTATAATTTACAATTTATATTTTTTTAATATAGAATTTTAAATTAACAACACTAAAAAAATATTAAATATAAGAGGGTCAAAAATGTAATTTCATAAGCTAATCTCATCCCATGATTTTTATCCCACCCCCCATGGGATATAACAATCCAACAAATATGAGACTAATAGACCAGAGCAAAAATTGACTACCAAACAACGGACTAATAGTCCAATTCCATACCCCAATCCTTTAAAACAAACATCACCTTAAAGTTTTAAGTCATTAGTAATACAGTAAATCTCATTTTTATCAATAATTTATTAATGATTTATAAAAAAAAATGATATTATTATCTATTTCATAGTTTTTGACTTTATTTATCTCCTGATTGGAGTAGAAATCAATACCATCATGTAAAAATTGTGAAATTTATTCAGTGTGTTTGGTTTAAGTTTTCGGGTTTAAGTTTTCTGGATTAAGTTTTTTGAAAACTGAATTTTTTAGTTTTTGTGTTTTTTTGTTTTTAGTGAATATTTTTAAATTTTTAAAATTTTAAACATTTTTTTAAACTTTTTTAGATGCATCTTACTTAGATACATCTAAAAAGTAAAAAAATTGTGAAAATATATTTTAAAAAATTAATAAATACATAAAAATACAAAATGTGTACTGAATTCTTGTATTTTTTTTTTATATTTTTAGTATTTAGTGGATTTTTAAAAGATTTTTTTTATAATTTTTTTACTTTTTAGGTGTATTTATGTTAAGTGTGTCTAAAAAGTAAAAAAATTACTTAAAATATTAAAAAAAATCAGTAAAAATAAAAAAACACAAAAAATAAGAAAGTAAAATTGTCTGAAAAATGTTTTTGAAAAAATGGAACCAAGCAAGCTTAGTACTTTTTTTTTTCTTTCCTTAATGGCCCCGTTTGGTAGAGTTGTGAGATAGTGATTATAACTTATAACCTAACAGCTTATAGCTGATAACTGTGAACATAAGCTGATTTTTTACTTATAAATTAAGCTTCTCATTCCCCACTCAAAGAATAAGTTGATTTTTAACTTACAAAAAGTTATAAGCTGTATTATTAAGCTGAACCAAACACATCAAAATAACTTAAATTAAGGTAAAAGTTGAAATAAGTTGGAAATAAGCCTTATCAAACAGGGCTAATATGGAGATAACTATGTGTAATTCATCCCCGACCCAAAAAGAAAAACCACCCAAAACCCGGCCGGGTCGAACCAATAACCCACCCACTTCACCGAACAAAGCCTTGCAGCGGCATACGCGAACAGGAAGAAAGAGAAGAGAGAGAAAGGCAAAGTTTGCAGAGAGAGAGAGAGAGAGAGAGATGGCATCTGGATGGGGGATAACGGGAAACAAAGGCAGGTGCTACGATTTCTGGATGGACTTCAGTGAGTGCATGTCTCGTTGCAGAGAACCCAAAGACTGCGCTTTTCTCCGAGAAGACTATCTCGAGTGTCTCCACCACTCCAAAGAGGTCCTCTTCCCATCTCCCCTACTCCTTCTTCATTTCACTTCCTCACTTCAATCATCTTTAATTTCATTTTGTTGAGAACCAATTTCAAGATCACCCTCGAAAACCTATACCATTGTTCTTCCAACTTAGGGTTCTGTGTCAAGTTTGAATTTTTTTAGAGGGTATATCTGAATTCGCAATAATGAGTCAAACTGGCATTGAATTTTTGAATTTGAGAACATTAAAAGAGGTGGATAGCATTTTTTGATAGTTACACCATAGAAAATCTGCTTTCTTAATCTAGAATTGGGAGATTTTAATAATTGTCCTGTTTCAATCACCACAATTGAATTAATTAGCATGATGCAGAGCATGGAAAGAGCAAATTATTAGTAGTCTTTTGCTTTCCATGTTTTCAGTCCTGTTGTTTGTTGGTGCTAGTATAATTCTACTTGTGTTAAATTAGGTTTTATACTAATAATTTCGAAATTCACTTAACATGGACTATAGTCTCTTCCATGTGTTGTATTATTGATCAAATATGTCTTTTGTTAAATTGGCTATAAATATGCACTTTATATTTTTATTCATCAGATACAAATTTCGAGAAGTTAAAAGCTTTTGATGCATCATTATGTGGCATTCTTTGCATCTTTTTACTCTTCAGAGCCTCCTCCTCCACTTTGTTCCTCAGATTTTCTTTAGTTACTATTAATGAGTTACGGCTTGCTGCCACCTAATAGCCCTCATTTTATCACCAAAACTGCTAGCCAATTGAGCCTCAATCAACAGTATTCATTCCACTATCTTTTGGCTTTTTAATACAAACCTATAATTATAAGTTTATAACCAGTTGTTTTTCAGAATTTCCAGCTACGAATAGTCTCTGCAAATTCAACCAAGCTCTTCCTATATACAACCCATTTGATCCCCATAGCCTATATAAATTTTGTTGCACCAATTGAAATCCTGAACTTACAAACTTTCCACAACCTTAGCCTGCAATAAACCCAAAGAAAGCAATAATATTCCGAGTTTCCAAATATGTTTTATATTGTGCTTTTTATGCTCTTCAGCCATGGCCTACTAAGAGCTTTACTCAAGCTGAAGCACACATATATGATATACCCAGTTGCACCGATCCCATTGCTAAGTCAGAGACTTAAAAGTATGCTTATATTTTAACATTCTCAGCCACTCTCACTCTCAATCTACGTGTCCTCACTTGCATTTTAGTTGCCAAAATACCATGTCCCAACTTTTCATCCATGACCTAGGTTCATCTATAAGCAAGTCCTTGAAGTTTCAATCATACATTGAGGTTACCAATCTTTCAGCTATTTGTTGAGGAGAAAGTGGTTTGATTCTTGATCCCTCTCTCCGTCTCTTTCTCATTAGATTTTTCCTCAGCCATTTGCTAATGCCATTATTTCTAGAAGGGTTTTTGGTATTTACAAAATGGAGAAAAAGTAACTCTTAATTTTCCAACTACGCTCTTCTTCACCAACAAAGGGTCATTGATTCCACTCATTCCAGACAAACCGCATCAACACCAAAGGAATCTATCTCAAGCCTTCTTCCTCCTGCCCACACGAGCTCCTTTCCAAGACCAAGGAAGCTCCCCCGCCTCCCTAGGGAACACCCACACAACTCTAAACAAAATAAGGCCCAAAGGCCACAGTTTCCATGCCATCCCACAATGAATAAGATGGCTCACTGTTTTACTCATTGTGCTTACACTTACAACACCAATTAGCATGACTTTGCCTCCACCTAATCAAATTGTCAATAGTAAGAATTTTATGCACACCCCTCATCAAGGAAATCGAGAACCCCTGTGGCCCATAAGGATCTCATTAAAAGATTTCATATAAATTAGCTGGAAGAGGATCTCAATCATCAAAATGAATCACCTCCATCCCTAATATGTGAAGTATAAAGACACACAAAAAGATCCATGAACTAACCTGTCCCCTAATCATTAAGCTCCCTCTGTAGGTCAATGTCCCAAAACACTTGATCATTATCTGCCTTAAGATAATCACTCACTGAAGCTTCCCTATCCAAAGCCACACGAGCAATATAAGGGAAAATCATCTCCAATTTCTCATCCCCACACTAACGATGACTCCAAAACTTGACGTCTTCCCCATTACCAACAACAAACTGATATGACCTGAGAAGGTTTCTCACCCTCTACGAATGTCTTTCCACACACTCACTCCATAAGACATAGTGACCTCCTCTGTAGGTTTGCGTGTAAAGTAAGGGAGACATATTAGAGGAGGGTGGTGGAGTGTATTGACAACATAGAAGTTGCACGACCAATGTCGGTGGCTTGATTAAATAAATTTGATACTTTCTATGTTATACAATATTAAACATTAGGGTTGACGATAGGTTGGTTTTAGCTTTTTAGGGTTTCATACTGTGACCCTTCTATTTTGCACGGTCGGGTTTAGCCATGGAATTAGACCAGCGAGCTTATATGTAGGTTTGAGAATTTTCATTGGTGTTTTCATATTTATTATTGATATCATTTATTACTGTTATTTAAAAAAATATATATATATATATATTGAACGGAGGGTAACCTTGAATTGTTTTGGTTTTTTATTTTTTTGTTGAGAATATAATCTAAAATTTCCAACCGCATGAATGTGAGCTGGAAAACATAGTGTGATAATATTTAAGTAGATCTGTAACCTATTATCATCTCTGTTACTGCTTGACTGCATGCATTATTAATTTTCAATAGGCCTATGTGGACTTGTATTTTGCAGTTTCAACGTAGGAATCGAGTTTACAAGGAGGAGCAACGTCAACTGAGAGCAGCTGCACGGAAGGGCAAGGAAGGTGGAGATATTGCTGGGCATCATCATTGATAGAGTTGTGATTGATTACCTTTTGGACTTTCAATAATAAGAATGCATAACTCAGTTGTATTCGGTCTTTTTTGCCATGCTGTTTTCATGACCTGTTTTTGTATCTCTTAAATTGGATTTATGAGTATCTGCAAAACGGCAAGGTAAATTTAACTTTCCTTGCATGTAGACACCAATGACATGTGCTTTTGCTGGTAAGGCATTGATTTTATTATGTGAACTACTTTTTATTTCTTTCCAGCTCTATGTGTGCCTTTCATTCACATGGTATGTGTAGAATAATGGTTTTGTTACTGTTAGATTGATTCTGGAGCAGAGATCACAACATTACCTTCCTCTCACCCCACCAACCACTACTAAATCACCATCGGAGCCCACTGCCTCTGCTAAAAGCCCAAACGGTCACACCACCACCACCACCACCATCAAACCTCAATTGTGGTACCATTTCCAAACTGTCTTGATGCACAGCTGTTGCCCTCCAATGCTCCACAAATTATGATTTTTCAAATTCGGGTTTGATTTGCTAGCTTTAATTTTTGTTTTTGTTAGTGTTAATGTGGATTGGTTGTGAGAAGGGGAGGATGGGGGTGGAGGATAGTGATGCCGTGAGAGGGAGGATAGGGAAGACAGTGGTGTGGGTGAATTAACCAATCAATGATTTATTTATTTTTGGGAGAATTGTTGATCAGTGGAGATTAGAAAATTTATTTATAAAAAGGTAAAAATATATATAATTTTAATTATTAATATTTATAATATGTATCATGTTTTTGTAAATAAATTTTTTGATTCCCACTTATCAATAATTATCCTTTTATTTTTTTCTTTTAAATTGATCAGCCAAGTGTTCTCGTTTTTTTTTTTTTTTTTTGGTTACCCACCCGGTATCCGACCCACTTTGGGCCGACTAATCCGGATTCGGGGAGCAGTTCTAGATGGTTAGACTCAAGCCTCCTTCCAATTGGCGTTGCGGGGGATCGAACCGTAGTTCTCCCTACCAAGTCGAGCTCCAATCGCCACTCGACCAACAACCAATTGGTAGCCAAGTGTTCTCGTTGACTAGGAAGATGGGAAGAAAGAAATGATGGAGGTAGAGAAATAAAATAGAAGATGGAATGGGAATCTAAAACTTCACTAGGAGGAGAGAAATGGAGGTATGGAAAGAAAAGAGACGATTGATTTGACCTTTTGGTCAAAAATAATAAAATGGGAATCTAAAGCAAAACCACAAGAAAATTTTAGAGATATTTAGGCTTCGTTTGGGGACTTACCTTTTTAGTCAAAAAGTCAAAAAGTTATCTTTTTAGTCAAAAAGCGACAGTGGTGTGGGTGAATTAACCAATCAATGATTTATTTATTTTTGGGAGAATTGTTGATCAGTGGAGATTAGAAAATTTATTTATAAAAAGGTAAAAATATATATAATTTTAATTATTAATATTTATAATATGTATCATGTTTTTGTAAATAAATTTTTTGATTCCCACTGATCAATAATTATCCTTTTATTTTTTTCTTTTAAATTGATCAACTAAGTGTTCTCGTTGACTAGGAAGACGGGAAGAAAGAAATGATGGAGGTAGAGAAATAAAATAGATGATGGAATGGGAATCTAAAACTTCACTAGGAGGAGAGAAATGGAGGTATGGAAAGAAAAGAGATGATAGATTTGACCTTTTGGTCAAAAATAATAAAATGGGAATCTAAAGCAAAACCACCAGAAAATTTTAGAGATACTTAGCTCTATTTTGAGAAGTGAGTTATAATTCAGTTTTCAGATTATAATTCATTTTATCTCTTACAAAAAAACTCCTTATAAGCTGCTTATAAGTAACTTTTCACTAAAAAATTAATTATAACTATCTTTTCAAAATAGCCCTTAACCTTTATTTGTCATAATTTAAAAAAGCTTAAAAATTAAAAAATTACTATCATATTTAAGTTATATCATTTTATTTAAGTCATATCATTTTTTTATCACATCACTTCAAACTCAACTCATATTTTATAAAAAGCTAAAAAATATACTTATTTAGATCATCCCAAACCACTCCTTAAAAAAAATTTGGTTAAAAAACATTTAGAGATAATTCTATTTAAAATTTTAGAAGAGTTTACCTCAAAAAAATCATTTAAAAAATAAATTTACTTTCAATTTTTTTTTAGAGGAGTAAAATATTATTTAAAAATTTAGAAGAATTTGATTAAAATTTTCTCACAATAAAATTTTAATATAAGAATAAACATAAAAAAAATCTTCAAAAATCTAATACTATACATTATTATTATCAAAATATTAAAAAGAATTATTAAAAGTAAAAAAACTTACTATTAATTAAAAATTTAAAAAAAATATTTTTAAAAATGCCAAATTATTGCATCTCACATGTTGCAACTCTCTACTGTGTCCGATTCGCTCCTCCTCCTCCTCCTCCTCCTCCACCACCAGCACTGTGAATATCGATTGATTCATCTCTCTCTTCCTGTTCCACAGTCGAAACCCTAAACCCATACCAAGAAACCAGATACTATCATCAGAGAAACCAACAATGCCGCACAGAACTCTTGATTCGCGTCACTCCATTGAGTCCTGCACATTCCAACTTCACAGCTGGAGGCCATTTCACCTCCCAACTTCCACACCCAAATTCCTCGACTCCGATACCTCTAAACCCTACACCAAGAGGCCTTGTCTCTCCGACCGAACCACTTCGTTCCCTATCGACTCCCTCGACATGTCGAGGCTCAGCTTGTTTGACGATGATCGCTCCATGTCCTCGCACAAGCGTGAGAGTCTCCGCTGGATCGCTCGGAAGAGGCGCCGCCGCTTGTCGCGGTCGATTTCTGGGCGGAGCAGTGATCGGAGTGGGACTCGCCGGCGGTGCTGCTCTGTCGGGGCTTCGGCGGCTTATGCTACGTGTTCCGATATTCCGGTGGCGGCGGGGACCGATTCGAGTGGGGAGTTGTTTGTGAATGGGGACGCCAATTGGGCTTCGGATGTGAGCGAGGCTGCTAAGAATTCGAGGAGGGAGAGAGATGGTGGTGGGGGTGGTGGGAGTGGGGAAAGAGAGAATTTGATTACTGGTTTTGGGCATATTGGGAATTTGGATGGGCTGGGTAATGAATCGGGGTATGGGAGTGAACCGGGATATCGGGGTGATGCAGAATTCGGATATGGTGATGAGCTAGATGAAGAAGAAGACGATCATCGGCTCATGTTTTGGGGTGAGAAATTTGAAGGTACACTAAATTTTTTTATAGTTCAAAAATTTATTTGCTTGAATTTGTTTTTATGATATATAATTGTGGTTCACATATTGTGCTAATATTGGTTGAATATAACTTTATTGGATGCGATCATCATGCAACACTAGTTGGTGTTCATATTTTGGGCGAATTGGTACCTGCTCAGTGATATAGTGAGTGATCCAAGAAATGCATTCACTGTTTTTAGCTCATTGGGAATTGTAATAGGACACACAACAGTAAGGAAGGTGTAATTGAGGGGGTTGGACATAATGTAACTCAATCGAATCCATTAATCTCTTGCTTGGTTTGAAGCTAATGTGAGAATGACCGCACTAGTGATTTTTGGAAACAAAAAGCATGGGTTATAACTGGTATTTGGTAATCATTAGGAAAATGAGCTTTATATCAATAGTAACTTAGATGGATTGTAAATTGAGAACCTGGAAACATTAGTGACACCATGTATTTTTTAGCTTCAGTCCAAATTTGGAGCATAATGATAATTCTGCTGTGCTATATCATTTGATTTAAGTAATGAAGGCTATTGCTTGCTCCGATATCTTCATGCAGAGCTGTTAGGAAATAGGAGGGGGATGACTAATGTGATGTTGAGAGGATGGGATCTTCTATCTAGGAGGTGGTATATGTGTAATGGATTACCAGAATGAGACTTCACCTTTTTCTTCTTCAAGAAAAAATAGGGTACTTGAAGTGCTGTAGTTGGATGACAACAAGCAGAGAGAGAGATGTGCAGTGTAGACGCTAGAGGCCCAATCGCATGGATTCTACAGTCCAAAAGCTCTTGTGGGTGTGGGCAGGATTACAGTGTCTGTTGTAATCATAATCTAACTTGAGTGGTAAGCCTGTATGGTCCGTGTTAGGGAAAATCCGTGATTCCCCACAAGTAAATCAATTAATGGGAATAAAAACTAATGCGGAAACAAATTAAAATTCTTTAACAAACCAATTGGGTCCCACACTCCAATAAGTAGGTATACCCAACAGTCCGGGACTCTGTGCTTGGACCAGCAGTGTCATCAACAGGCAACTGTTAACAGTGTAGAAGAAAACACATTATGAATACCTCTTGTCAAACTATCCATAGGGTTAGCTCTTATGGATACAAACATAGTATATAAACAATACCCTGGTATGAAACTGTTTCAAAAAAATTTAGAATAGGAACATTGGGATGATAACCTAATCACTGATGATACAAAATCTAATTAACTAGTGTTTTTTTCATGATGATCATGTTAGGAGCTCAATTCCTTTCTTGTCTCTGTTTGCAAATAAAAAGAAAGGGTGGAGAGGGTTTGTAGATAAAGGGAAAGACTGTGTGTTGGGAAACACAGAAAAACTATTTCTATTTTTTCAAGCAAACCTTTTATGCTACTCAATTCATCAAATATATCATTTTTACTCTCTCTCTCTCTCTCTTTGGGTGTGTTCAACAGAATGCAATCACGTCCGACATTTTTTTTAACCATCTTATCTCTTCTTTCCTTTCCACATGGCTATTCCCAAGCCTTAGCATCTATTGAAAATCTAATCAGTTTGATAACAGTATAGCAATTGGATTTAAACTTAGAACTGACTGTCACTGCCCTAAATCATTGATGACTCATCAGAGAGAGAGAGAGAGAGAGAAATGCATGTGTGTGTGAATGACATGTACAGTCTTGCAGTCGTGTTGATGTATTCCTTTACCCCTTTGTCACCAGGCACAGATTCTAACATGGAGATGGTTGGTGAGAACACACTCCAAAAGACCCATCACAGAGGCCGGCGTAAGAAACACGATGTGCGAATGATTGATCAACCGCGGTAAATGATTGTTGACTCTTAAAAAATATGTCAATTTATTTTCTCACGTCTTCCTGCACTTGATTTCATTGTCAAGGTTTGCTGGTTCCTGGAGTTGCCACTGGGGTCATGTATTGTCCTGACTCTGCTATTCTATGGTAGTAATTGTATTTCAATATTGTTGTGAAACAGTTTATTGTTTGTTTTCTCTTAGAAGGGTATTGACGCATTTGTACCAAAAAGTTGTGTAGTATTTGAGTGGAAGTGGAACCTTGTTTATCTCTGTAACTCTGTTCTGGCTTCTTTGGGTAGGTTATCAATTTTGTATCCAAGTTCTACCAGTGAAATATTTCACAGGCTTTAAGTAGTAATTCTCTTGCTCGATGTTGTTTTGGTGGAAAGTGTGGAAAGAAATTGCACTGCAGATTTCATATCATTGTTTTCATCTCTAATATTTTCTTGATGTGCTTCAGGATGCATTTTCAGCTCCCCATCCCTAGAACACGTCCATGGCTTGCAGTTGTAGAGAACCCCTTTAGATGCAAAAGGGTCCCAAATGCTTCAGAAATAAATGGAAGCCAAGATTATTATATATGAGCTTGAAGCATGGCACATATGGGCACTAAAATTTTGTGGGGTTGGGACTACATGGTTTGATTAATGAAAGTTAAACAGTGTTCGTCTAATTTTATTTGCAGTATTTTATTGATCAATCTCTCTCCATATATTGTTCTCTCTCCAAAGGAACTTTCATATAATCAAAGAGTAATGTTATGTAAAGATAATTTTTATATATAAAAAATAAAGTTTCGTATAAAATGAGGTGGTCTTGGTCTTTCATTTCAAACTAAAAGTATAAAGACAAAATATCAATTGATTATAATAGTTAGATTTAATTTTTAGCAAATTCTATTGAAAATAAAATATCAATAAAATCGTTATTAAAAATAATTTTCATAACGATTTTTTACATATGTCGTTAAAAATTGATAATTAGTAATTTTTTTGTCACAAATTTTATAAATTGTTATTAAAATTTACAATTAGTGATTTTTTTTATAACGATTTTTTAAACAGTCGCTGAAAGTTAAAAATCAATGATATATTTTGTGAGGGTTTTTTTAAACTGTCGTTAAAATTTATAATTGATGACATTTTTCGTAACAATTTTGAAATTGTCACTGAAAATTAACAATTAATGATTTTTTTAATAGTTTTTGATAAAAAAAATATTGTTAATTATCAAAGGGCCTATTGGATAATAAGTTCACCTATTAGAACTGTGCGGGGAGCAAATATTCAGGCAAGTCCGTACTCCTTTCTTCCAAGCTCCTGTCTGTCCAATCGACCTGCGAGCACAACGGCGGTGAGCTACCCGGCGGTGTGTGGCCGGAAAACCCCTCCGACAATCAAGTTAGACACACACACAGGGATAAAGAGAGAGAGGACTGAGTTGAGTGTTTAGTATATGTCTCACCAAATGTTCATCTGTCTCCGTATGGGGGGCGCAGACGTGCTTATATACCTTCTGCGCCCCAAATCTACTCTCAGTGACCTCTCAACACGTGGCACTGCTATCCCATCTGTCAGCATAAACCTTGCTGAGCACCACCTAACCCAACTGCCTGCCTATTCTCCTGGGAGCTCGGCAGCCGGGCAGTACCATCGGCGGTGAGCTACCCGGCGGTGTGTGGCCGGAAAACCCCTCCGACAATCAAGTTAGACACATACACATGGATAGAGAGAGAGAGAGGACTGAGTGGAGTGTTTAGTATATGTCTCACCAAATGTTCATCTGTCTCCGTATGGGGGGCGCAGACGTGCTTATATACCTTCTGCGCCCCAAATCTATTCTCAGTGACCTCTCAACACGTGGCACTGCTATCCCATCTGTCAGCATAAACCTTGCTGAGCACCACCTAACCCAACTGCCTGCCTATTCTCCTGGGAGCTCGGCAGCCGGGCAGTACCATCTCGACCATCGTCCGCCATGCTGCGCTTCATGCCCAAGTACTCCAGCAGCTAAGCCCAGATGAGGACCAGACTCGGCGGCATCTCGACAAAGCCGAGCTCGGGACAACTCACGCTTGTCTGCGGTCGACCTAACTGCCAAGCAAACAGGTACCTTGGTCCAACCTTGCCTTTCCTGGCGCTGGACTTTTCACCTGACCCGCTTCGTAACCACGAATCCTTGCAGCTCGGTCAATCCGCGCGCTGCCTTAACCGAGCAGCTTCCTTCAAGGCCGGGCCACACAACTTGGCCCAACACTTGTTCGGCCCAAATCTGTCCGGCCCAATTCCATATCATTAATCTCCCTCTCAAGAACCTACACATAAATTTCAAAGTTTAAAATATTGAAAAATTTTCACATCAGTCTATACCTTCAAAAATAATTACAAATTAATGATGAATTTTATTAATATTAATAATTAAAATTATAAAATTTTCTATGCATATGTAGTAATTTTTTGAAGATCCCAATATGGACTAATTTTCTCTAAAATATTTATTATTATGACTCATAATTTTAAAAAAGTAATGTTATCTACATCTAGGGTTACAAACGAGTCGAGTCAAACTTTAGTATATTTCAATTTATTTATTAAGATTTTAACGAGATTGAGCTCGAGCTCAATAAAAAATTAACGAACCAATTTCGAACTTGTTCACAAACCTTAACGAATCAAAAAATTTATAAATTCATATTTACATATGACACTAAAATTATAATTAAAATTTTAATTATACAATTATATATACAATATATAAACATACTGTGGGAAGTTGGGTTAAAAAAATCATTATTTTACCAAAATAATAATAGCTACCACTACTATTATATAAATGCACTATATATAGTTAGCTATTATTTATATTTACATTTTTTTAATACATAAATAACATGTTTTATCTTATTTTATATATGTATTTTTTATATTATTTAATATATAAATAATAAATGTTAAACAAACCAACTAACGAGTCAAATTGTAATATATTTAGACTTATTTATTAAAAATTTAATGAGCTTAAACTCAAATGTAAAAAAAAAATTAACGAATCGAATTTGAATAAGCTCTTACCGAGCAGAACTTAGGCCTATTTATAAATGATTATGTTCATTTACCGCCCTAATTATATCATCTAATGAGCTTTTCAATATTAATGTGAAAAAAAAGTAAGATTCGGGAAGTTATTCAATACTTTTGTAATAATATTCTATCTCATTTATTGGTTGATATATACCGTCTTTTAAAATTATCAAATAAAAATGGTAAATCTCATAATTTGGTCCATTGATTAATTTGAAGGCCCTAAAGCAATTTATCATGCACATAAAAAATGCCAGATAATGCTGAAATATAATTTCCTTTGTCTTACCTATTAATGTTTTTAATTAATATACTAATATATATTATAATATTATTATTTTAAAATTATAAATTATACCCATTATATTGATCATTGATTGATATATTAACTTTATTGTTAAAGGTATGCTTGTGAATTATTTTGCTTGGTAAAATTGCGGAAACAAAACGACGTCGTTGCAGAACTGTCCAGCTTTGATGCCTCAAAAAACCCATGCGCTGTCGTTTCAGGGGGGGAGGAGATAGGCGTGGTAGTTTGGAAGCTGTGATCAGACTTTTTCCACAGAGAGAGAGAGAGAGAGAGAGAGAGAGAGAGAGATGGGGAGAAGGGGAGCGGGAGAGGCAGTGAGAGCGTACAGAGCGCTGCTGAAGGCGACAAGGAAGACATTCGCAGGGGACACTCTGATGCTGAGGCAGTCTGCGGCGGAGGTGAGGAAGAAATTCGATGAAAACCGCCATGTCACCTCCGAAACCGACATCAATAGACTCCTTGACGAGGCAAGCCAGGCCTCTGATTTCATCTCCACCATGATCGTCCAGGCCAGACTCAACCCCCACGGCAGTTACTGTAATCCCTCCTCTTCGTCCTCTTCTTTTTTCAGCATTAGTTGTGCACACCATGTGTTTGTTTAATTGTTTGTGTTTTTTAGCTTCTTGCATCCCTTCTTGTTTCCTACCTACACTTGAATGCAAACAATAAATTAAAAATGTTAGATGACTTGGAAGTTGACTATGGAGATTTACCACAAAAAAAATAAAAAAATAAAAAAATAAAAATTAAGAGGGAAGGAAAAAGGGGTACAGATGCAATGGGGAAATTGCAGATTATAGGTGCATTCTGTGGTCTATTTGTTAGCTAAAAGCCTAGGCTAAATTTAAGCGAGGCTTGTCTTTTCAGGACATTTTGTGAAGAAATAACATTTGTACTATTAACACTGTTCATTGTCAAAATTTAACTTTAGCTAGCCATTTTAGCGGTGCACTATTGGAGTTATTGTGAGAAGTTTGAATATTTTGGGTGACATTTGGGAAAATAAGTGTGAATGTCTCTTAAGGCCTTATCCTTTTTTAACTTTCAACCCATACATGCATACATACGTGTTTGGAGGGAGAGAGAAGAGAGGTTTGGTGGAGGGGAGGGGGATTGCAAAGCGAGCGGATCCTCTAGAGTTACTCTCTAGAGTGATCTCCTAAAGTGGATGATCGGACGGCTGTGGTTAAGCCTCACCAAAACGACGTCGTTTTGGTGAAGACTTTCAAAAAAAAAAAAAAAAAAAAAAAAAAAAAAGAGAAAAACCAGATTCGGGGATTCAAATCGCTCTCTCTCTAGTAATCTTTCTCTCTGCCATGGCTCTGGTTCTCTGCAACTCCATCCCAGTCCAAAACACTTGTCAACAAGTCTCTTTCTCTCTCCTTCCCTCTGTTCCTCTCTCTTCTCACTTTTCTGCAACTTTCCTCTCCTCTCTTGCATCTTCATCTCTACCAACCAAACGACCCCCCCCCCCACCAAACCATCCTCCTCCCCCTACAACTACAGAACTGCTTTCAAGTATTCAATGGCTCTGATAGCGCGAGCGGATCCTCTAGAGTAACTCTCTAGAGTGATCTCCTAAAGTGGATGATCGGACGGCTGTGGTTAAGCCTCACCAAAACGACGTCGTTTTGGTGAGGCTTAACCACAGCCGTCCGATCATCCACTTTAGGAGATCACTCTAGAGAGTTACTCTAGAGGATCCGCTCGCGATTGGAAAAACTGTGCCCTGCAGTTAAGGAATTTTAAATACTTTAAAATCTCTAACCTTGAGCTCGTGACTGGTTCTCGGTTTTGCTGAGCTACATATTTGAACAACTGCATCTTGCACTATTATACGAGGCCAATAGTCTTATGTAAATCAAACAAAGTCTAAAGTCTTATTAAATGGAGTCGGTTACATGAATTTTTCTTTTCCACGCGGCTCTATGAAGGCCATTTCAGTAGTTAAATTAATTAGATTCATATCTCTATTTACTACGTTAATCAATGTTAATTTAGGTCTCCCTTGTCCCCTAACATTTCCATCTACCGTCACTGCATCGCATCTCTTCGCTACTGCCTCTGTTAGTCTTCGTTGAATATGACCAAATTATCTCAATCTATTCTCTCTCAACTTATCTTCTATCGGTACTACTTCTACTCATTCCCAAATATACTCATTTTTAATTCTGTTTTTTCTAGTCTTACCACACATCTACCTTAGCATCCTCATCTCATCAACACTCATCTTATCTACATGTTGTTTCTTGGTTGCCCAACACTCCGTCCTATACAATATCGATGATCTAATAGCTGTTCTATATAATTTTCCTTTTAGTCTAGTGGGTACTCGTTTATTACACAGTACCCTAGATGCACTTCTCCACTTAAATCACCCCGTCTTAATTCTATGGACCACATCCACATCAATCTCCCCCGCCGTTGTGATAATCAACTCTAAATAACGAAAATATTCACTTTTAGGTAGTTCTTGGTTCTTAATCTTCACTTCTCCTATGCTTTCATTGTTACTGTTCCTAAATTTATACTCTATGTATTATGTCTTAATTCTGCTTATCTGAAATACTTTAGATTCAAGTGTTTCTCTCTAAATCTCCAATTTTGTATTACTTCTTTCTCTAATCTCATCCACCAACAGCCTCATGTAGTGAACCCAATTTGCATTCATCACCTAGATGTGTGGGACTTGGCAGCGTCGGTGTCATGTAACTTTTGGTTACACAATCTGATTGCCCACTTTCTACTAGAGGAACTTATTGAATGATTTCAGTGCATTTCATTTCCCCCCATTCATTATCTCCCAATTTTTTATTGCTGACTTGGTTGCTTCAGTGCACTGTTTGTGGTCCTCTGGTCAGTATATTTCTATTGGTGTTGGTACTTACTGTTTCGGCTCAACATGTGTGCAGTGGTGAAGCCAGGTAAAGAGCATGCAGGAGCGACACTCGAGATTCCTTCAGAAGAGATTCTTAACAAGTCTGCATAAGTAGAGGGAGTATAAGCATCGCTGCAACACATGCTCAATCATTTGGGTCTCCTATCTAATGACGGTAATTTATTTTTGGTAGTGCTCTGTCAAAAAAAATTATGAAATCTATCATTTGTAGTTCATTCAATTAACAATTTCTCCTTTGCTCTGTTGAAAATTTTGAAAGACTTCAACTGTACTAAGCTATTGTTGTCAACATTTTGTTCTACTGCTATCTGGATTTTGCTTTAAGTGAATTTGCCCTTCTATCAAGAAAAAAGATTTTTGCCTTGAAGCTCATCTGAAATTTTAACATATACTTCTAAGTTGTGGCTAATCCAATCAAAAAATAAAATAGTAGATATTCCTAAACCAATTTTAATACAATCTATATCTCATTTTCTTAAAACATAACAAAAACAAAAAAAGAAATTATTACATATCTCATTTTCTTAAGACCGGTGGGATTGTCCAAAAGACAAGAAAGAGCACCAAAAAAATAATAATAATAAAAAAATAAAAAAATTGGGCCACCTATAGTCGCTTTGATAATCATCGAAGTTGCTGGGAGCTAATCTTTCCCCAGATCTTCCACATTTTTCTGGTTTCTGTCGTCTTCCTTCGCTTCCTGCCTTTGCTTCTGACTACTATTTCCTGAAAAGGACAGAGAAATATATGAATAAGGGGTTGTAAAGGCCAAAAAGTGGAAGCTTAAATAGATAACTTTTAGGGTGTGTTTGATTGGACGGATTGGATAAGGGGAATTAGAATCTATTAGACTTGAATCTTGAGACTGTGAATTCCTCGGATTATTTGGTTTGATTGGATATGTATCTTGTGTTTGTTTTCTCATGAGATTAAATGTCTGGAAATGATTATTTTTAGTGAATCCAATGTTTGATTGGACAGACTGGATATGATAAATGAGCAAAAAATTATTTTATCATTTTTTAATTGTTTACTAAGTAATAGCAATATTAAACATATCTTTAATATTTTAATTATTTTTAGCTAGATTAAATAATTATTTTTAGTTAGATTAAATAAAAATTTATCTTATTTTATTTTTTACACAATTAAATAAAATTATTTTTTAAAAATTAAATAAATAAAATATTAATTAAAATTTTAAATAAATTTGTTTTTTTAAAAAATAATAATAATTAAACAATAAAATTAAATAAAACATCAATTAAAATTTAAATAATGAAATTAAATAAAATATAAACAAAATTTTAAAATAAAACATCAATAAAATATCTATAAAAAATTATTTAAAAATAAATAAATAAGACATCAATAAAAAGTTAAATAAAATTGTTTTATTCTCAAATTGAGAAATTTAAATTTTATTGAATTTTACTAAATATAATACATAATTAAATAGTAGAAGGTCAACATGGTCATTTTATCACCTAATCCTAACAGTAAATAGTCTCTCCAAAATTGTCCCCCCCTCCCTCCAAGGATAGTATACGGGGGATAAGGAGTCCGGCCGGACTCCATGTCTGGCGGACCAAAAAAAAAACAAATGCTGGATTAGATGCTTCTTCCATATTACAATCTGTACAGTAAATAATCCTCTCCTTATCCCTCAATCGAACTGACCCTAAGGGCATGTTTGATTGGATAGATTAGAACATGGGATTTAGTTTATTAATCTGTAGACCTAATTATCTTATGTTTGTTTTAACATTTTGGTTTAGAATAATTAATCCAACGGATAATTAATCCAACAAATTTGTAGGATTATTAATAATGGGGTAGGGGTGGGATGATTAATCCAATGGATAATTTATCCTATGAATCCAATTGGATAGTAAATACCATATTAATTTGATAAAATTATTAATACCTCACTATTAGTCTTATGAATCAAACATGGCTTAAAAGTACTAATCCAGTTGTGACAAGAGCTTCATGTCACTACAAGAAAAAACACATTTGGCGACTAAATTTTTAGTCGCCAAAAGTCAATTTTTAGTCGTCAAAAGTCGATTTTTAAGTTTCCCCGACTAAATTTTTTAGTTGCCGGTTTGATCGCTGGAAAACGATCGGGAAATGTATTGGTGACTAAAAAACTTTTAGTCGCCAAAAAGCAAGTCTTTAGCGACCATTATTAATCCGTAGACCTAATTATCTTATGTTTGTTTTAACATTTTGGTTTAGAATAATTAATCCAACGGATAATTAATCCAACAAATTTGTAGGATTATTAATAATGGGGTAGGAGTGGGATGATAAATCCAATGGATAATTTATCCTATGAATCCAATTGGATAGTAAATACCATATTAATTTGATAAAATTATTAATACCTCACTATTAGTCTTATGAATCAAACATGGCTTAAAAGTACTAATCTAGTTGTGACAAGAGCTTTATGTCACTACAAGAAAAAACACATTTGGCGACTAAATTTTTAGTCGCCAAAAGTCAATTTTTAGTCGTAAAAAGTCGATTTTTAAGTTTCCTCGACTAAATTTTTTAGTTGCCGGTTTGATCGCTGGAAAACGATCGGGAAATGTATTGGTGACTAAAAAAATTTTAGTCACCAAAAAGCAAGTCTTTAGCGACCAAAACTTTGGTCGCCAATAGTCAATTATATTTTTTAAATTATACATTTGGCGACTAAAAATTATATTTTTTTAAAATTATATATTTACCGACCAATGTTTTAGTCGCCAATACTCAAGAAATCGGCGACCAAACCTTTTAGTCCCCAAAAGCTCATTCGTGAAAAAAAAAAAAAAATTACACTCATTAACTTCTCATTAGCTCTTGTGGAGATTCGAACCATCAACATTTGGCTATTATGTTTTTTAATCGGCAATGTTACCTTTTAACTACTAAATTTTAAACACAACATGAATATAAATGTAACATATATTATTTATATAGTATATAGACTTGTATTAATATAAATGTATATATATATAAAAATAATTATTTTTTATTCAACATAATTTATGAAAAAATAAATTATTTACTAGGAAAAAAAAAGAGAGACTACTTTTGGCGACTAAACATAATTTTAGTCGTCAATTCTATACTTTTGGCTACTAATTATTCTTTAATCATTAAAAAATTTAATTCCCGCGCTAAAATTACCACTTTTGGCGACTAAATTTTTTTAGTCGGTAAAAGCCTCACTTTTGGCGACCAAACATTTTTTTAGTCGTCCAATGCCTCACTTTTGGTTACTAAATTTTTTTTAGTCTCCAAAAAACCTTACTTTTGGCTACTAAAATTTTTAATCGGCGACCAAATAAATTTTTAATCGCCAAAATCTATACTTTTGGCTACTAATTTTTTTTAGTCGCCAAAAATTCTCATTTTTGGCTACTAATACTTTTTTAGTCGCCAAAACTTATACTTTTAGCGACCAAAAGTACATTTTTAATCGTCAAAGATGTATGCTTGTGACATTCATAATAGGGATAACATTTCCAACACCTCAACTAGGACAAATAATGGCATGCTAATGCTATGCATAATTTAACATCCAAAGGGAGTTGAAGTGAATCATAGGTTGTATCAAAGGAGAGTTTCTCAACATCCCCACGTAAAAAACATAAAAAATAAAAAATAAAAATAAAAAGTTCAAGGAAAGATTTTTGACCATAAAAAAAAATGGAAAGATAGTCAAGAAGAAAATATATGGTAAGCAACAAGCGGTGCTAGAGTTGCCTAATTGGGTTATGAATTTATTTAATTTTGAAAAAAAAATCTAAATAGATCATGGGAAATGTGTACAAATTTAAACTAAACTAAACCAAGTCTTGTGTCCCAATTAAGTGGGGAAATGAGACTTCAGAATATGATCTAATGCTCTATATTAGTGGCTAACAGTCCTAGAGTATCATGTACAATTGTCTATGTGGTGTTCTTAATCAATAACATAGCAGAAAATTTTACTAGTGGGATCCATTTCTTGGTTCCCAAAAATGTGACTATCGCTCTGTCTCATGGTCATAAGTGATGAAATAGAAGAACAAAACTAGATTAAGTCAGTATCGGCAAATTATGTGATCTACTCAAGAATATTCAACCTATTTTATGTGCTTGTACAAGGCAACATGGTTTTGAAAACCAAACTGGACAGGCCGGCTCGACCGGTTGAACCGTCGATCGGTCGGAGTTTCGGTCCGAATATATCCACTAAACCGTTTGAAGCTAAAAACTGGTCTATTTACAAAATTGGCGGTTGAGCTGACCAACCAATCGACCCGGAGCCGGTTCGCCGAGTTGGTGAAATTGAAAATTTTGTTTTTGTTTTTTTTTTTTAAATTTCTGTTTCTTTTATTCTTTCTTTCTTTCTTATGTTATATATAAGAAAATTTTAATTAGAAACTCTCTTTCAAGGGTTTCCTCCTGTGAGGAATCTTATTAAGAGTTTGAAATTATTGTGAAAGTCTCTACCTATTTATGAGAAAAAAAATTCTTCCAAAAAAACTCAATAAATCCATGTGGCATTCAATCAAATCTATTGGAGGGAATATTAAAATTTTGATCTCTCTCCAAAATTAAAATTTTTCCTCTTCTTTTAATCAAATTATTTGAATTAAAATCATATGGAAGGAATATTGAATATTTGATTTCCTCTTCCAAAATTAAAATTAATAATATTTTAAAATATATTATTATATTTTTCAATAAAAAAAAATTAGGAGAAATATTTAAGATAATTTAATATTTTTAATTTATAATTTTATTACTTTAATTTTTATTTAAATATAATTCTAATATATTTATTACGTCACCGTTCAATTCCGGTTTAACCCCACGGTTGAACCGGTAATCCGTCCACCCTATCTCTTTTCCGGTTTGCACATTGCTGTGATTTTTAAAACATTGCAAGGCAATCAAAAACCAAGATAGTTTTGATTGTTGTCCATTTGGTATGCTTCTGTGCACTTAAAGCTTCTATGCATGAGACTGCATACACCAAGTATTAATTCCAAGTTTCCATCAATATGAAAGAAAAATAAAATCCCAAATAGATCTCTTCTCCTAAAGTACTCATGAGAAACTCACCTGCCCATTCACATGATCTTGTCAATGTCCTAACCTATATTCATGAGCTCACCAATCTCCTTTTCTTTTATTGCATTCACTGCCCTCTTGCGTTCCTAACAAACTCCTACACATAAAGCTCTCAATCCTTGCCAACTCATTTAAAACCCCATCCTTTAAAAGCACACCCTGTTAAGCTCTTCATTTCATGTATTGATTACTTGACTTCACTCTCTTCCTTTCCTCCCCTAATATTCTAGTTCTAGTACTTATAAAAAGAGTCAATGAATACAAAATTTTAAACTATTTTTTATTCTTTGATCCATGAAAATGGCACGAGCTAGTAAGCTTGTTCTAATGCTCTTGCTCCCTGCATGGATGACACTTCTGTGCACATCTGCATCCGGGCATGGCAACAGTTATGTTCGAGATGCTTGTAGTGTCACCCATTACCCTGATGTCTGCATTCACTCACTCGCACCATTTTCACAAACAGCCAAACGAAACCCTACTACATGGGCACGTGCTGGGGTTTCGGTGAGTGTAGGTGAAGCAAAAATTGTTGTTCAATACTTGATAAAGTTGAAGAGATACGGCTCTATGAGGGGAAGAAACCAAGTTGCTCTCTTAGACTGCATCGATTGCTTTCAGAACACCCTCGACAACCTTCACAAGTCACTTGGTGTGATTAGAAAACTCAATAGCAAAGCATTTGTCACGCAAATGGATGATATTACTACGTGGTTGAGCGCTGCAATGACTGATGAAGATACTTGTTTGGGTGGCTTCAATGGTCAGAAGGAAAAACAAGTTAGGTTATTGTGTAATAAGGTTTTGAATATGAGTTATATCACTAGTAATGCACTGGCTCTTGTTAACAAACTAGCAACCATTGGTCCAGGAAGCCTAATAAGTACTGATCTTCCATAGATGTCTTTTAGAAAAGGGTGTCTTTGATGATCAGAATATAGGGTATTGTTGTTGCGTGAAAATTGGGGATTTGGGATGGTTTATATTTCCCTCACAATGTGATGGAATTGTATGAAAGAATAAAAGCCCTATGCAGCTTGTTTGGTTTCGTTTTTCTGAAAACGGTTTTTAGAAAATTTCACTTTTTTATTTTTCGTATTTTTTTGTTTTTATTGAATTTTTAAAAATATTTTAAGCAATTTTTTTTTAAAATTTTTAGACACACTTAACATAAATACACATAAAAGTCTAATTTTTGTGATTTTTTTTTAAAAAAATTCAATAAATATCAAAAATACAAAAAAAAATGAAAATTTAGTATGTTTTTCGTATTTTTATGTATTTGTTAATTTTTAAAAATATTTTTTCACAAATTTTTTATTTTTTAGATACATTTAAGTAAAGTACATCTAAAAAAGTCAAAAATACTTAACATTTTAAAAATAATCACTAAAACAAAAAAAAATAAAAAATAAAAAAATTCAATTTTTAAAAAATTTAATCCTGTTAACATATAATATACAATATAATATACAATATACATCATATAATATACAATATGCATCACACTTATATACAATATAGCTGTAAGGATGTAAAGGCTCTGTAAAGGCCAAACACACCCACGAGGCCAAACACACCCACGAGCACCATGTAAAGAATCTGTAAAGGCCAAACACACCCACGAAGCACCAGCACACATCTTCAGCTTTAGGAGTAGTTATATATTGTTTAATGTCTTGTACTCTCTATAAAGAGAGAGAGCCCAGTCTCTTGTAATAATACACATACAATAACAGACAACTGAATACATCAAAAACATAGAGCTAATATTTGCTCTCTCAATCTCTCTCAATTTCTTATAAATCCAAAAAATTCAAACCAAACACACTGATTAATGTTAGAAAAGTTTAGTAGTTGCCCCGCTTCTATTTTCTTGCAACTAGCCCTTGATATAAAAGAAAACATGTGAGGCGGCTCGGCTCACAAGAAAATTTAAAAAAAAAAAAAAAAATTGTTTAAAGTTTTACCTTTTCAAAAGTTTAGTTAGATAAGGTGTTATTTTGATGATTAGTCTGAAATATCTAAAAAATATAAGCCGATACTGCATATAGAGATTGTATATAGAATGACAAAACACCTTTTCTTCGAGGTTTTTATTTTATTCATAATGATAGGTCTCTTTTCCACCAAGTTTGACAAATCCTAGCTAGGTTTCTTGGTGGGTTGCTTCATTGGGCCAGACCCGTCATATTAATTCAGTTTGTTTGGGTCAACCCAAGGCTTATGTAATGAGTGGTGCTATATCTCTCCAATTTTGTCCTCTAATTCTATCTTTAATGACAATGACATGACATACTCCCATGTGAAACAGTCCTACACTCCCCTTCCTCTCATTTTTAACCTCCTTAATTTCACATCATATTCATATCATTAAGGGTGGAATTGAAGAAACAAAATTAAGAAAATGAATCATTATTCCTTATGTAATTCTTACATCTTTTGAGTAAAAAAATTAGAACTCATATATTCAACACAATCAATTTTAAATTTAGAACTCATATACGTTCAACCTAATCAATTTTTCAAACTTTATTGACATTATTTTTATCCGGGGTTAGAGCCCATGAACCTCACTAAGGAGGTCTTGAGTTGGATTCCTCCTCAAATCTAATGCTTTGGGGAATAAATCCAAAATTAAATTAAAAAAATTATTTAAGTTGTAACAAACAGTGCCATAAAAGGTGGGGATAAAGTATGAAAGTTTTTTTAAGATGGGCATAGTATATAAAATTTGGCATTTCCGAATCTATCAAATTAGTCAAAAATGAAAATAAAAATAAAAATAAAAATAAATAGTAAATTTTCTAAGCCATGGGCTCAACAAATGGACCACCATTTACATGCACAAAGATGGAAAATCACCTAATCATAAAGTCCCCATCCATGAAAAGTCAATTAACTCTCACTACAAAAAAATTGACTTTTTGCGACGGTAAAATACCGTCGCTAATACTCCTAATGCCGTCGCTAATACTTTTTGCGACGGCAAGAGGGGGGTCGCAACTGCAGGGGTTGCAAAAGAGTTTTTGCGACGGTAAGTGTCGTCGCTAATGTTTTGCGACGGCATTTTTTACCTTTTTGCGACGGCACCGTGCAGTCGCTAATAACGTTTGAAATTTCTTGACTTTTTTGTGACGGCCTTATTTTTCCGTCGCTAAAAATATTATTTGAGACGGCAAAAAATACCGTCGCTAATAGTCTTTTTCTTTTAAAAAACACTGTTTTTGCGACGGTGTGGTGCCGTCGCAAAAAGTATAAAAAATATGAAATTTTCTATTTTTTGCGACAGTGTAATGCCGTCGCAAAAAATATTAAAAAATAATAAAATTTTTATTTTAAACAATAAAATTTCTATTTTTTACGACAGTATAATATCGTCGCAAAAAGTAAAACCTATAACAAAATTAATAAAAATATTAAAAATTTCTATTTTTTCCGACGGTGGTGCCTCTCACTCTCTAAGAGCTGATTATTTACATTCCATTCACAAAAACATCATAACAGAAAATAAAAATAAAAATTGATCAAACCATCAAATTCAATATTTTACAAAGAATAATTAAACTGTATACGTTCATAAAAGCATATTTAAATTATAAAATTCACCCAAATCCTAAAAAAAATAGAATAATAAAATAAAATCTAAAATTCACCAATCAGCACATTAGATATTTAAATGCTCTTACAAAAAGAG